AACCCCCCCCGCGGGGCAGGGAGAACCCGCCGTAGGGGGTTCGCACAGGCGGCTACGCGCTCTGGAACAACAGAGAGGGCAGTGAGCGCTTTTCGGCGGTACAGGGGGAGCATTGAACATCTGTACTCCTCGTTAGTATAGTGGTGAGTATCCCCGCCTGTCACGCGGGAGACCGGGGTTCGATTCCCCGACGGGGAGGCGGCGCTGCCTTTTCCCGCCCACGGAACCGTTAGGGCTCCTCAGCGCGCACCCTTCACCCCTCACCGCAACGGCACTCGGCGACCGTTGGGGTCACGGGGGAGGGCGGAGACGGCTGCTCCCCGCACAGCAGCGGCCCTGCCGTGGCCGAACACGAACAGTGGCAAAGCCCCGTCCTCAAACCGCACCACAGCAGGTCACTGCGGAGATCCTTAGCCCCACAGGAAGCCGAAGTGTTGAAACATGGTACACCCCTGCCATGTATTTGATCCAAGGTTGAATCAGCCCCCAAAATCTCAAGCAACCAGTCTACACTATGAATGGTAGGTGGGCTGGTTTGGTTTTAGTTTTTAGAGTTTTGTGTTATCATTTTTCATACTATTCTTTCTTACAAGCAGAATATCCGATTTTAACTAGCTTCAGAAAATCTCAGGAGGCGGTGATCACTTGCACAGAAGTACTTTCTCTATCCTCCGGCATGCAGTACTGCAGCTGCAAGTATTTATGGTATTAAAGTCTACATACTGACGCTAGGACAAAGATGAACCTTTTATTCCTTAGGATTGGGGCTTTTAAGGAGGAGGTCCAAGTTGGCCTGATATCCAAGGAATGGACAGTCCACTGAAAGACCAACTTCTCCTTCAGAAGACAGCACTTATTTCAGCGCACTATGGTGAAAAAACATGTCCAAGCAAAGGCAAGTCTTACTACATTTTAGAGGATTTCTGCAGTGTAAATATTAATAAGACCCTGTAATAACATGCTTCCTTGATAGATGAAATCATGTAAAACACAGCTTAATATTTTTGCCTGTGTAATTCATACATCTGAATTCCACTGCCTAGGTGTGTTTGTACAATAGACTGTACCTAAAAGAATAAAAATAAGCTTCTCTGCCATTTTTTCCCCTGCAAGTCAGCATGGATGACATCAAGGTTGTGAAAAAGGTGGTACTTAACAGAAAGCAGATTCTAAGGAGGTTTAAATAATACCACATAAACCCTTTGTTCTTTAAAAAAATATATATTTCCAAATAATTCTATCTTTGTCCACTGTAAGCAGTACTATTCGGCACATATTTTGGAAAAAGCGATTATTTTTTCATGCAGAAATTGCTTTCATTTTGCTTCAGAACATTTCACAGTAGGTCATCATTTTGCAGTCAGACAGAGCAGCTGAGGAAGTTTTGGGAACATGCACATTAGTCCTGTGCACGCATCACCAGTCCTTCACAAGGTGACACAGGAGGGGACAACAGCAACGTGAGCTCTTCAGCTGGCTCTTAAAGAATGACTTCATATATTTGCAAGCTTCGACAAGTCTACATCATTGTTAAGGCACAGAAAAGGGTATAAACAGCTATCTTAAAAATGCCATGGGATGGCAGTTGGAGCTGATTTGTGGTGGTGTTATTCTTTCTTAATGGCTAAGTATGTGTAATCCAGTCTCCTCCAGGCCATGCCTCAGTGCACCCAGTCTTTGGGATTGCGCAGGACTTCTAGGATTTCTGCTTCTCTTGAGTTCTCTGGCGGGGTATGCATGTATTCCCACCTGCAGGGAGAGGGGAAACAAGCACTTAAGATTTATGCCCCTCACCTCTTAATCCGTGCAGGTTTAGCTGCAGAGATAATTTAACTCTTGTTTTTTGATGCACTAATAATGAGGAAGAGGAGTCAAAAAAAGGAACCTACACAAAAAATAGACCACAAGACATGAGAGAAATTGCCAGCCTCAAATTCTGTCGCTTCACCCTGACACGGTATTTTCTGCTGTCCAGGACACTTCTAGAAGGCAGACCAGAAGCACTACCATCTCGGCAGCAGGATGAGGCCACATAGAGAGAACAGGACTGTCCTCATGGTTAAAGGGTAGCAGGCAAAGGCCAACTTTCCTCGTGGAAGGAGGCCACTAATAGGAGGCTCCCAGAGTGCATGATAAGGCCTGTGCTATTTCTCATATCAAAAAGCAACCTACAAAGGTGAAAAAGCAATAAGCAACAAGTTGCTGTGCTACAAGATTAAGCAAGACCATTTACAAAACAGAAAAGGCAGTTGAGAAGAGTTACTATCAAGTCAGGCAAGCAAGCAGTAAAATGGTAGGCGAAATTCACTGTCGACCTAAAGTGATGCACAAAGGAAAAGGAAAGCTACATGCACAGTGACAGACTGAGTTAACTCTTGCTGCCAGAACAGATCTTTGCATCGTCACAGTCCTGGAAAAGGCCACCTCAGTGCTTTATCACTAGTGGAATACAGCAAGCAGGGTATTAGGAGTTACAAAAGGACTAATGAGGAAAAAAAAAACACCACTGTGTGTAAGAGTTAGCAACACACCTGCATTTTGCATACACTTAGAGTAGCTTTTTTTGGGGTCTGCTCCTCATTACCAGTTCAGAAACAAATACATAAAGTGCAAGTTTAGAAGAAAGCATGATCAAAAGTATGGAACAGCTATTGCACAATGACCCCTGAAAAAAACAACAGAATCCTGTGAAATACAAACTACTGGAGACAACTAACAGGAAGAAAAGCTGGTTACTCATTAAAAAGTCAAATCATCAAGTGCAAATAGAAAACAAAGGGCACTTTTTCACACAGTGGACAGGGAACCATGGAACACCCTGCCCAGCCTTGTCAGGCCTGTCAGAACTTCACATGGTTTCACAGAGCTACTAGACAAACTTATTTTATTTTTGGCAGGAGGCAGAGCAATAGAATAGATCAAAAAGTGAGAAGCACCCAAAATAAAACAAAACAACCCAACACCCAAAAAAACCCACCTTTTTTGACAGAAAATATTGAGGACACAGGGTGTTGGCAGTTGGGCAAGTACACCAGACCAGAGAAGCTACTGCATATATCTGGCTTGTTCTTTCATTAAGCATGAACTAACCACAGTTTGGAGACTGGACACCAAGATAAACCTTTGATTTAAGCCTATGACGTATTTTAAAAAGAACAGCACCTGCCTGCAACTCCATACCCTCACCTGGCAGTCAGGGGCAGAGACATAAGAATGCTTTCAATTCTTGATCCCGGTGTTGCTAGGCCAAACTTTGTTCCTCTGTCATAAACCAAGTTGAACTCCACATACCTACATGGAGAAGAGAAATATAACACAAGAAAGGGGTTGTTATCACAAATTGCTTAAACCTGCAGCAAATAAAACCAGCCTGTCTTTCTGCCTTGTTCTGTCAGAGAAGGAATATTGCTTTGGGGCCAACTGCATCTTCTGTCCTGGGACCTCTATGTCCCAAAGGTGGTTTTCTGTCCCCGGCACAGGAACAGAGCAATGGCAGTTTCAGCAGGTGTAATCTTAACAGCCATTGCTGTTCAGCAGAGGCACAGGAAGGGAGGAGCTCTTTATCTGCTTGCAGAAATAGGGAGCTCTCCCTATCTCAATGACCTGAAAAGATACGCAGAGAAATAAGCAGGCTGAGGAGGTCCTGGCTGCTACTTAAAGGGAACCTATTCCCCTTTATATGACATTACCAAGTTTGTTACAGACTGGCAAAGACCCACAGTGCCAGGAGCAATGCAGTAAGTGCTGCAGGACAGTGATCTAAACTTGAATACTCATTTCCCATCCTATGCCACTTCCACAGGTTCACTCCGTTTCTCTGCAGGAAGGGCAGAAACGAAGGATTCCCCATTTCTGTGCAAAGTACATCTTGATCCTAATTATATTTCAGCACTATGTGGATGATTCCATGATTTCTCCAAACATTCACAACATCACAAGATACAGAGAGGGCTGCAATTGTTTACTAGTAGTTAAGCTTAAGTACTAATACTTATTCATATTAATATACAACCTCTGAAGCTTTTAAACTTACAGCAATTATACCGAGAAAAACCCCTCCTTTACAAATGTGCGTGCACCCCTCTGTCTGCCGAACAGTGTAGCTGCTGCTACCCGCTTTTGGAGGAGTCCGAGAGGAGCTGTGGCGTTTTGCAAGAGCTGCTTGTGCTGCAACACAGGCTAGGGGGGAATACTGACAAGGCTGGGCCAGTACCACCTTTGCACCCTCCCTGGCAATGCAGCACTGATATCACAAGCAGCTCTGTACATAAAAGTGTTGCAACTCTCTGGCCACCTTACCCCACATCATGACACAATACAAAATGCGTGCCAAGTCATAAATGCTGCAACCATGAGTAACTAGCTTGATCCTTTCTGGTTTCAGTCCCCTCCGCTCCCCGGGTGCTCACCGCCCCCTGCGAAGCTGCTGCCACAGCTTCTCCTCCGGTGTGAAGGGGTCATGGCGGTGCTTCTTCACAATGGGAACGTAGCAAGGCACGATGGCTTTGGCACAACTCTGCACAAACTGGAACACCTCCTCTTTGGAAGGAGAGTCCACATCGTCGAAGAATATGCCTCCAATGCCCCTTCGCTCGCCACGGTGCTTGATATAGAAGTAGTCATCGCACCTAGGAGAGGCAGCCCATGATGATGTATGTGTATGGCAAAGACATACACGGAAACACAGAGAGCCTTGCAGCATAGGATTGCCACTAGTGAAATACTGATGAAAAGCTAGTTCCCTGCAGCGTGCTGGATGCCCCATTTTTCCAATGACTGCTGGGAGCAAGGAGAGTACAGGACCACCCAAAATGCAGTCCTACATTCACTTGCAGTAAAGCTCGGGTTAGATGGTTCATGCAGAGTTACATATCACTGCCTCATTAATGAAAACATGCACTCCAACACCATGGCCAATTCTGAAATAACAGATTCTTCCACTTTCAGTATTTCAATCCACACCTTCATCTACAAGGAGAAAGATCAGAACTTAAAGGCCCTTTCTAGACTTTGTTCACAGAGTGGCACACAAATCCCAAAATATTTTTACAGTTTTGGGGAGGAACATGAAAACAATTTTTTTTTTGCCTCCAAACTAAAAGAAGCTATAAACCCAGGACCAGAAAAAAAAAAAAAAAAAAGCTACCCCCACCACTTGAGGAAATAAAAAACTGTGTCAGCCTTCTCTGGAGACAGGCTTTTTAATAGTTAATCTTGAAAGATGGAGACATTCTACCAGTGGCTGCTTATTGCTCACTTTCAAGTTTGTGAGAGAGTTAAGTGCAGTTTTTATATTTACTGAGAGAAAAGTGTGTGGGTATGCAATTACTGTCAATTAGCTGTTTCATTGTGTCCATTCCCTCTTTGACTTGCATGGGCAGCCATGCCCTCCCCTGCAAGACGGAGAAGGAAAGCAGTAGGTAAAACCCACCAACAGCAAGGAAACTCTGCCTTCGTTTAGTATGAGCCTCCCATACATATATCCATCCACAATCAAGTAATATAAATGGTGTAACTATACAGCAAGAGAGGTGGAGACATCACAGATAATGTAAGATTATTATTATTATCATTATTATTATTATTATTATCTGGGAGAATTAACTTGCTCTTTTATGGCCACAGGAATAGTTAGGAAAAAAAAATTCTGAGATTGAAAAAATTGCCTTTGTCAATGGGATATAATGTTGTCCTCCCCTAAGCTGCCCTCAGACTAAGAACAGAAGTCCTTCTGTCCAACTAAAGCATAAGATGTTTGGCTGTGACGCTTCCTGCTCTGCAAAGGGACTTGCAACAACCCAACCATTAAGGAAGGCACTCAGAATTAACAGCAGAAAAATCCTCAAAGCAGCAGACTGCAGTGATAAGATGTATTTCTTCACTAGCAGTTCACACCCAAGCTATACCACCCACTTTATCTCCTGTCCCCAGGCAGGACCTGGTAGCTTACAAAAGAGTTATAATGCTCCTTCCAGGGTACCATAGCTCATAGCAGATAGGGTATCTGACACAGAGCAGCAGGTCTCCTGCTAACAGCGAAATATTTCATCAAGTGCATCTCTCAACTCAAGAACATACAAAGTCTAAAACCTTAGAGAAAGTGTTGTTGAACTTTCCGTGAACATGTCATTGGAAAAGAAAAATCTCCATCAAAATTACAATATTTCTACATTAAGGATAAGCCTCCTTTAGCTATCTGTTCAAAAAAAAAAATAGTAGTGAACATCAGAATGAAGGCAGATGAAGTGGAGTGGAATTTTCAAAACTGCAGTGCCAGCCCAACAACTCACACTGAGATCACGTGCATTTACCATGAATTCAGTGTGAGCAGAAATTAGTGCAAAGCCATGGGCTTCTAGGGCAAAAATCTTGCCCTAGGCTAGATCTTGACTAGGGGCTAAAAGGAATTTTTAGGTTGCCCAGTGAGGTCTGTGTCAGAGACAAGGGCTTAGAGTATCTCATAATCAGCTTACTATTTATTCAAGCTGTGCATGCAGGATCTTAGTTTCCTAAAACCTAGTTTCTCAGGTTTTAAAAACTCAGGCCTTTTAATTAACAAATTGATGTAGAATGTGTTTTGTCCCAGCACATACCTACTGGTTTCATTTTAGGAACAACTGATGTCAAAAAGCAGGCTAGAAATTCATGTTCCTAGAATACTCCAATGGAACTCTCCAATACCAGCCTCTGCTCCCATGAAGACCAACCCAAGGGCATCTCTCCCCACGTACCATTTCTTGTATTTGGGATACAGCTTTGGATCATGCTTGTCACAAGCTTCTTTCAGTGTTTTGTGGAAGTGTACAGCATCTTCTTTGTCCAAGTAAGTTGGAGTCAGGTCAGTTCCACCACCAAACCACCACTGTTTAGTCCCTACAGGAGAAGGGCAAGCAACATTCATTTATTACCTTCCGAACAGAAATACGAGTGGTTCGCCAAGAGAACTAACAACTGTTTTCACAGTTTTCATACAAGGCTTTTTCTCAGTTTGTATGCACTCCCTTGTGAAGTCATGACAAATTCTAGTTCAAGGTAGTGTGACAACCAGTGTCTGCAAGAAAACATGAAACACATTTCAATGTAGTGAAATGCATCCAGTATTTCTGGACAGGTCGCTCTGACTACCAGATGCTATAGGATGCCAGTTTCATAAGATGGGGGGCTGACAGCACCTACTGTCACACTGCTCATTGACTACATTGATTACAAGGAAACAAAACCAGAATCTACCAGCATTTTACTGCATACCAAAGAAAGGAAACATCTGCATTAAACCAAGGGAAAGCAATTAACTAAGAATGATTCACCATACTCTGATAAAATAATTCCAAGAAAAATCCCTTTGAGCTTCTATTTGAATGAGCAGTGCAAGTACTGCCGTAATGTACAGACTGGCACTCAGTGTTAGACAGCGGCACCCAGGCTTCTGCTTCTGACAACAGCAAGATGCAGAAATGGAGGGAAAAAAAGAACGCAATGCAAGTAGAGAACAATGCTCCTAACAGCACGGCCTCCCAGCTCCTGAGACAGCGGCACAGCCTGAGCAGAATGTTTATCAGTCCTTGACAGCCCTTTCTATGTTAACTCATAGAACTGCTTCTTTGAGTAGATGCTTTACATACGTTTATAAACACCTTACGGTTTTACTTAAATCTGAAGCCCGCATTGTACTTTGCAAAAAGTAAACTGCAAGCACTCTTACTGTAGTAGATGCAAGCACTGTAATCATCTTGCAAATGCATAAACAGGAACCCAGAGACAAAGAGATCCAGCACCACACAGCAAGTTATTGCACAGCTGGGAACAAAACTCGACCGTTTCTTGACCTCTCACTGGAACAACACATGCATGCTTCCATCATACAAAATCACACATTTTATAGATATTTCACCAAATTCTTACAATTCTTACCATCTGCTTCTTCAATTTCAAAGTATCTGTAGTTAAAATGCACAGTTGGAACGTGAGGATTCTTTGGATGGATAACAGAACTTACACCCATAGCACAAAAAGGCACTTTCCCTAGAGAAAAAGATGATCATAAATAAAGTTACTCGAAGAGCCTCACTATTCATCTCCAGCTTCTAAGCTACTGCTCTGCTATGTGAAAGTTTCTCATGTCATGCCACGTATTTATCAATCCAAATGCAATTTCCTCCCACGCACAAATGTTTTAATGGATCTCAGAAAAAAAAGACTCCTCTGCGAGACCTCTCACCATCTTTGTCCTTGAGGGTTTTCCTGCTCTTCATCTGCTGCACAGCCTCTGCGGAAAGCTGCCCGAACACTACTGACACGTTGACTCCTGCCTTCTCAAAGACGTGGCCATCCTGCAGAACGCAGCTGATGCCGCCACCACCTGCAAACACAAGCACCCCGTTACCCCACACGAGGGTTACCCCATCCTGCGGTCCCCAAGCCGCCCTTGCCCTCCATGTCCACGGGCTGAGCCCATCTCGTGGCCACCAAGCGCACTGTGAGGCAGGTGTCTCCTCAAGCCGTGCTACCGTGCAGAGCGGTGCCACAAAGCAGCGGGTTGATGGCAATGGCTTAGGAGGGATCCGCGTGGGAAACATGGCCTTATTAAGCCTCCAACAGCAGCACTGGCAGCCTCCTGCAGATCCCCAGCTGGCACTGCCGGCCCCCCAAGTCACCCTGGGTCCTCCCCAGTCCTCTCAGGTAGCGCCAGGTCCTCCTTGGTCCTCTCAGGTCACCCTAGGTCCTCCACAGTCCACCTGGGTCACCCCAGCGTGGCATTTCCAGTTCCCCAAGGTCCTCCTTGGTCATCCTAGGCCACCCTGGCCTGGCACTCCTGGTCCCCCCAGGTCCTCCCTGGTCCCTTTCCAGCTCCCCCAGGTCCTACCCAGTCCACTCCTGTCACCCCAGCCTGTCACCTCTGGCCTCCCCAGGTCCCCCCAGGTCCCCCTGCCCTGCACCCC